ACTACGATGAAATCCAACTCAAGAAGGAGTGATCTGAACTCAAGGACAATAACAAGCACAGCAGCTCAAAGTGCGGACTGCAGAAATGCATCTGCGGCCGCAAATTGTGAAGACATTCATATCAGAGGACTGTGAGAAGTGCGGTCCGCACATGAAATGTGTGGCCGCAGAAGCTAAGCTAGAGCAGAAGTTCAGAGAGTTTTCATTTCAAGTTCAAAGGAAGTGCGGACCGCATAATTATTGTGCGGCCGCAGAAGATCAGCTACGCGGCCGCATTTGCATTTGTGCAGACCGCAGAAGAGCCTTGTGTTGCCGCACCCAGAAATGTACGAACCGCAGAAAGAGATAGATGCGGCCGTGGCTCAGAATTGTGCGACCGCAAGATTCAAATCCTGTCAAGACTAAAGCAAAATACGGACCACACATGGAATTGTGCGGCCGCAGAACCTCCGAAAGGGCATTTTTGTTCGAAAATTCCATATTTGTATAAATAGAATAGTTTCACTTTTTTTAGGTCAAGTTTTGAATATTCAAAGCGCTTTAGTCGTTTCTCTTTTCTTCTTTAGGCAATTTTAGCTTACTTTGGTGATTTAACATTGGATTTCTATATTTTAATCTTTCAATATGAGTTTTTTTATCTCTTCTTTATTTTTTGCTACACCCACTATGAGTAGCTAGATTTTTACTAGGGTTGTGACCTAACCCTAGTGTATAAACCTTATGGGTGATTAATTTTATGTTTGTTTATGAATGATTGTTTGTTATTTAGCTAGGTTCATGCTTCAATTGTGGAATTAATGATTGCAAACATTGATTCATGCCTATTTGATTTAGTCTCTTCTTGAGAAAGAGAGACCTAGTCTAGGTTAACTTAGCTAACTAGGAATCGGGTCAATTTAGAGATTGATTAACCCAATTAAAGGGTTCACCCGACTTGAGCTCTTATCAACCGTTTTGGTAGATACCCATTTAGACTTGAAAAAGCTAAATTGGGCAAAATCACTCTCTGACCGAGAGGTATTGAGTGGTCAACGTAGTGTTGTGAGCTATAATGCACTCCAATCAATAAAACAACATAAAAGTCTTTATTCCATTAGGCAAACACCTAGGTCATGGTCTACACCTAGGTCATGGTCACAGCCCTAGGCCTTTTTACATCTTTGAAAAACATTCAAAAACAATCATCTCTAGTTTTATACCTTCAAATTTGCAATCCTTAGATAATTTTAGAAGTAAAAACAATACCTTGTTTGTGGAAGTGCAATCTAGACACTTCACGTACTCACTCCGAATATATACTACTACTTCCCATCTTAGCTCCCTGTGGATTCGATCCCGACTCCTTGTTGGGTTTTATTATTGCGAACGACCATGTCATACCTCGTTAGAGGCGTGCATTTGGACGTGATCATGGTCATCCTCTGAACCTGCTGCATCTGATGCCCTTGACCCAATGCCATATTAGCCATTTGGTTGTTTAGTTTAGCAATCTCTGCTCGCACGACTGACATCTTATCCAGCTCGAGTGTACCTGCTGCTTTCTGTTTTATCATCCTTCTTGAGTCACCTTCACCCTACTAGTTATGATCATTTGCAGTGAAATTGTTGAGCATAGTCTGAATCCCACCGTATAGTTTGCATGCAACTTTCTCCACAAGCCGAGTCTAGATTAATTTGGAGGTCTCGTTTAATCCATCCACAAAAGTATGTCCCAACACCTTATCAGTCTGACAATGATGTGGGCAGTCTCTGAGTAGTTTCTTATATTTTTTCCAAGCTTGACGAAGAGTCTCACTATCTCGTTGTTGAAACCCAAGAATCTGGCTCCTCAGTTCCTTTGTCTTCTTAGTAAGAAAAAATTTGATTAGGAATTTTTGTGCCAGATCATCCTAAGTGTGGATAGAGTTTTCGGGCTCCTTATTTAACCATTCCTTTGCTTCCCCCATTAGAGAAAAGGGAAACAAAGTCAGACTGACATAGTCCTTAGAGAGGTTCGGATAGTTGTATGTATCCGTAATCTCCAAAAAAAAATTGTATATGCCTTTGGGGATCTTCACTTGATAACCCCACAAATAGCCCTGCTGATTGAATCAGTTGCACCATGTACTGCTTCAACTCAAAGTGCCCAGTTATATCAGGCTTCACAATAGCCTGAGTCATGTTCGTGAGACTAGGCCTTGCTGCCTCAATCACCGGTCTTTCTTCATTTTCTTTCATCTCGATTGGCTGTAGTTGGACTACAATACCCAACTCTACAATTCTTGCTCTTTCTTCCGCCTCCTTCCTTAACTTGTGAAAAAGTCTTTCGGGTTCAGGATTAGGAGAAGGAAGGTTGTTCAAATTATTGCTTCTTCTTAGCATTCAAGGTGAACAGATATAGAGTCAGAAATAGCCAAACAGATTAACACTTGAACAAAAATAAATAAGAGCTTATTTTAGACAAATAACTAATTTCTAAATCTCCGGCAACGGCGCCAAAAACTTGTTAGTTCCAAATGCACACGCAATTATACGTGGTCGACAAGTAATAAAGTGATAAGAAAGTATCGTTTCCACGAGGATTTATGATCAACTATTCTCCAATCCAAGCTATTTATAAAATTAAACTCAAGCGAATGTGAAGAAGATGATTGTGATTTTTGTAACCAAATTACTACGAACTAATAAGCAAGCAAGAAATTAAGATCGCAAGTAAAGCAAACAAACACTTAGAAAGAACTCAGTGAAATGGGGATATTTCAGGGTTATGGGATTCGCATCTCTCCTATTGCGTTTTTTGAGTTGATGTAATCACTTGACTTATCCAATTTGTTGATTAGCAAGGTTTATTATGCTCGCGAAGTTCTTTCGACGCTTCGCTCGCCTATTCAAGCAAACCAAAGACTATATGTCTATAGAATCAAACTTGACAAGAACGCATGTATATTTCCTGCAAAAATAACCAAGGCCACTAGAATATGTCTATCCTAATCACGAATCTATTCTCTGCTGCTAGGATTCAAGAACTTACTCTATTCAATCTTATATGCAATTTATAGTTTCCATTTTCGAGTTCAACTATGAATTCGTAGATAGTACTCTATTGTTAGCTACGCAATAGATTAATTAAGTGCAAGATTGAATAAATAAATTACTATGATAAAGTCAAGCAAAACAATTAATCGTCAATTTACAATAGTCAAGAACAACTCATAACCTCAGAATAATGAGGTTCTTAGCCACTCATGTTCATAACAATCATCAAAATATTATTTTCAAACATAAAAGCTATGAATACTAGATGAAGAATGGAAGAATTGATGAATTCCGTGCTCCTGAGAGTTTCGTACTTGTGTTTCTCTCTCAAAGTCGCGTCCGTCTTGGCAAAATAGGTTTAGGTTTGCTTTTATACGTGATCGGGGCATCTTGGGGTCGAAATAACCAAGTCCTGGGCGAAATAGGACAACTTCACGCCACCAGCGCCCAAGATAGCGTGGGGCGCTAGTCCTGGTGCTGGAAATTTGGAGGATCTGTTTTGTGCGCCACAGATAGCGCCCCACGGTGTCTGTGGCGCTACATTGTGGCTTTTTCTTGTTTCGTCCCCTTTTCGCTTCAATTCGCGCACCTTCGTCCCAAATTGCATGCGGATGATTCCTACACATACAAATACGACTAATTAGTACAAATCATTACATTACACATCCGAAATCTACAAAACATGAGTAAAATATAAGGCAATATGCATATAAATATACATACTTTAAGCCGAATATCAACAGGTATCAAACACAAGATAAGAAATAAAAGAAAAACTCATAGCTAAGCAAATCACGCTAATACACTGAAACAAGCTTAGCTACGTGTAGATATGTGCAATTCAATGTAAAGAGCTCGAATAAATCATATGACTGTTCCATCAATGGGATTCCATATAATACAATTTTTTTTTAATTGACGTAAGTGCATTATAACTTAAATAATTCACCCTACTCCACTACTCTTTTATAGCATTTATGTAAGCCAAGATTTCATATATAGCTCACATATAAACGAATCTAATTTTAATATTTGATTATTAGTGTACAGTTTATGTACTAATTAATCTTATTCCATGCACGTTCCTGTTTAAAATCCCACTAAAAATACTAAAATGCTCCCAATTAATAATCCTTTCCCTTATTTAGTTCATTATATAGTTATAACTATGAATATATGCGCACAACAGTTATAAATTATTTTTGCTTTTTGTAGGGGGAAAAAGGCTAGTATTTTTTTTTTTTTACTATACGTAAGAGCTAAGTGCATAAGCATATGACCTCACTATCAATGCAATGTACAATTAACCTGAATGTGCATCATATTCTAATTAACTGAACAATGTTATACTCCTAGCCAGTTGTTTTGTGTTTTAATATACTCCATTAATTTCATTTTACGCGAACCTGTTTCATTTAAGAAGAAATTTTTTTGAAACATATGATACCATGACATTTTTGTGGTTACAGAAATTTAAGGTTAAATTATTTTTAAATATAGAACTATATCATTGTTTTTGGAGCAAACTATTAACAGAAAAAAGTGTCGCATAAAGTTAAACAAAGGGGATCGGGTCGTGGTTAATATTCTAAATCAATTCTGTCAAAAAAATGAAAAGGTATAAATATTACTTTTACACTTTTTCTCAAGAAGTATTACACTATCTGTATATAAAACTATAAGCTATCTGTGTATAAAACTTATACTATTTGAAACAAAAGCAGAAACATGAAATAAAGACATGCAAAAATTAAGTTTCTGTAGCCATCATTTGACCAAATCAGATACACTGCATCATGACTTTTTGGTCTCTATAGAAGGTTCTTTTCTAGTCTGAACACATTTGGTCCCTCAGATATTCCACCTATTTCATTCTCAGCCATTCTTTTTGCCAAATTATAACACTTTTTTTTTTATTTTTTGCAAAATTGCACCCTTTATAAATTAGCCACCTTGAAAATTAAACCATATTATTGCATGAAAAAACACTAAACATGGACGAAAGAGGCAAAATTAAGGACACTACTGAAGAGGTGAAATATAGAGGTGTTAGAAAGAGGCCATGGGGGAAATTTGCTGCTGAAATTCGCGATACTTCGCGACAAGGAGGGGTTCGTGTTTGGCTCGGGACATTTACTACTGCAGAAGAAGCAGCTAGGGCTTATGATAAAGCTGCTTATTCTATGAGGGGAAATTTGGCAATTCTTAATTTTCCTGAGGAGTATAATTTGCCTAGTAGTTCTTCTCATTTCAACACGGGTTCTTCTTCAATGGTTTCGTCTTCAGTACAGGAAAGAAACGAGCAAGTTCTTGAACTTGAGTATCTGGATGATAAGTTGCTCGAGGAACTTCTTGATTGTGATGAACATGCAAACAAGAGGAAATGAAGTATCATTAATTACCACCCCTTGTATCACTATATAGCTAAGTATTTCGCGTAATGTATACTAATAAACGTCAGTTTTACTAAGATTAGTAAGGTAAGGTTTCCGTTTGAGGTTTTATTAATAAAGTCCGCCCAGACAACCTGTCTGTCCGGGTGGTAGCTTAACCAAGAACGGGTTTTTATTTCAAAATAAAACGCCACCACCTTTTGCATGACGAAGGGGACATAAAATCTTACCTCCTCATAGCGGCCTATTGTAGAGTTGGAGGGGCCAACTCTTTACGATATTGGTGGTGCATGACTGCATGTCATGATATGGAACTATATATGCACATAAGAGAAGGAGTCCTTTTATATGGCATATCTGATGTATATTCCAAATCATGTACGTGAATGTACTTATAAATGTGTGTTATCTCTTTTATAAACTGAATTGCATCTGGCAAGTGTCATGGCTATCACCGATATTATGCTATAGAGATGTTTTTTTGCAGGGGCGAAGTCACATGTCTTAAAGGATAGTGAATTGACTGTCCTTCGTCGAAAAATTACATTGCGTATATAGGTAAAATATTAGATTTTAGAAGTATATAACATATACTAAACCCCCTTTGTCGGAGAATTTTTTCCACTTTTTGAAAGTCGAAACACCCTTAAGAAAATTTAATTTCTGACTTCACTACTGATTTCGTAGCACCATTTTGGTCCATGAAGCTTCCTTCATACTTCCACGTTGTGTTACTGTCTTTGCCGTTTGTGATTCTGACATTAATGTTGATCATCTCATCAAAAGTTTAAGTTTGTTAGAGATAACGGTATTCCAAGTTGGGGCGGAGCTAGTACATTACTTAGGGGTGCGGATGAATCATATAACTTTTGCTTGGATCCTATATTTTATTAGGAAATCTATTAAATATGTAAAAATATTTTATTGTGAACCAGTAACTAAAATAAGCTATGGGTGCGGGGCAAATTCAGAACCCATAAACATCAAATCCAGCCTCAGCGTACGTCTGATTTCAAGTGGGTGGGAAAGTGGTGGAGAAAATGGATTTGCTGAAGAAGAGACGCTGCTGTTGTCGTTGGCCCTTCCTTATCTGAGGCGTTTAGACGTTATCGATGCTTTCATAGTTCTTGGGCAGAAAAGTCTTTTAAAGTTTGTTTAAAAGAAAATGGCTATAGCTGCAAACTTTTTAAAAACTGGGTACAATTTAAATACCATCGCACGAAATGACTGTCCCATATATAATTTTTAGGGATCTTTACACAAATAGCCGATCATATTCATGTTACTTTTTCTATCCATATACGTAGATTTGACATTGATTATATACAATTGTACATATATAATATATAAATTATGCATATATATGTATTATACCTCTACCGGCTATCTTTAGTTTAAGTGGTTGGGTAGGCGGCTATTTGAGTTAATTTTTCTAAATAGCTTTTTTTACTTTTAGCCCGCATCAGAAACTATTTAGGGAAATTTTCATAAAGTACTATCTTTTAGTAGTAATTAGCCATCTATAGATACCATTTGCTATATTACGGATTATAGATATCTTTTCTGTGGTTATAAGATGTATTTGATGTATTTAAGCTATTGTATTCATGAATACAGTAGCAAAAATAGGCGTGAATCGGGGAAGTCCAGCTTATCAGTTATTGTATTCGACTGTATTCATCGCGTGAAACATGGGATTACAACTGGACAGATTACTGTATTCGACGGCGTGAAACAGGGGATTACACTGTTTTTAAACGGGAAGTGTATCAATTAACATAAAAAACTCCTAATATAACTCAACAAACTCAATTAAAACACACAAAATTTGTATTTCCAGTTATAAAAAAGATTCTCAACTGAAAAATACCCCAAAAACATAGCAATCTTCAGAGAAATTATATAATACATCTGAATACATAAATTATATTAATTAAAAAAACATATGAATACATTCATGGCATATAGCGAGACAGTGAATGCAATGAAATACATAGAATACAACGGAATACATTGAAAAATAATGAAAAAAAGACAGTGAATACAATGAAATACATGGAATACAGCGAGATACATTAAATTATAATGGAAAAAAAGACAATGAATACGATGAAATACATGAAAATACAGTGTGATACGTTGAAAATACATTGAAATATATTAACAGAAAATCAAGTTGCTCAGCCCCAAACTCCATCGTCTTTGCTCAAGAACAAACCTTAATTTCCGCCTTGTAGCCAAATAGTCCTTCCATCTTCAAAGATCTTGCAGAACGCTAATTGAACCGGAACTTACAGAATATTTAATTGAAATTTAATTGGATTCTTGTCTAGTTATCCGCATGGAATGAAATCCAGGCATCAATAAAAGATAAATATGTGATGAAGTCAAGCATTGTAAACTTGGTGAGATTGGTCTTCAGCGACGGAATACAGCGAGATAATCACCAACGATTTCGTGGATTTGCTTCGGCATGATTGGGTCTTCGGGTTAGAGTTTGTTGTTGCTGTGCTGCTGGTCGCTGGATTTTTCAGTTGAGAAATGCCGTTTGAAGGAGGAGGAGAGCGAAAATTTTAATGGGATGGGGGAAGAGAATGGGATGTATCAAAGTAGAGAGAGAAAGAAAATAGTGTAACTGAATAGCGTATTTAGTGGCTTAGGGCTAGGAGGTAACCAAAATTAAATATTTTGCTATAAACCTTAAAAGGTATCTATAGAATATAATTTTTTTTAAATGGTATTTATTTAAAATAAATAAAGTGTTAACCTTTGCTATAGGAGGTAAAAATTCTAACTATTTACGTTAGGCAGCCGAAAAAGTATATAAAATTGTAATATTTTTGTATATAACATACAGAATATATATATATATATATATATATATATATATATACGTACTTATTACTTTAGTAG